GCCTCCTGGTGGAACTGCTAGAACACAGTCCCTGGAGACGGCAGGAAGGAGGTAAGGCTCTCCCCCATTTGCCTAAGACATAACTGGCTGTTTCTAGAACATCCTTCAGGATCAATGGAAGTGTGCAGCGTACACATTGGGGATACTGGGATGCCTCACCAGAGAAGGGACTAGATGTTGACTCTGAGGCAGACAAGTCCTGTGAGTCATTTATTGAAAACTCAACCTTGTTGCAACAAGTCTGGTGGCCCAGGCTTTCTAAACTTGCCAGGCAGTGGACAGTCCTCTGGGACAACACACTCTCAAAGAAAATACAACACCTGTATCCAGTGAGCTGCTTCTCCTCCCCAGGCAAGCTGCAGCATTTTGAGAGTGGCCGATGGCAGACAGTGGCCCCCTCAGAGCAGCAAAGGCTGAATAAGCTGGATGGGCAAGTATGGATTGCCCTGTACAATCTACTGCTCAGCCCGGAGGCCCGAGCCCGTTACTGCCTCACAAGCTTTGCTAAGGGACAGCTGCTTAAGGTGGACAACTCAAAGACCCTCCCCATCAGCCCCGCCCCCACATAGCATCCCCACCTATCCCTGTCTTCTTTCCACAACTTGGGCTTGGGTGGGTGGGTGGGGGAGCTGCTAAGATGCAAACCCTCCAAGTACTCTCAGTCCAACTTGAGGGCTTCCTGTCTCTTGGCCCTCCGGCTAGGAACAGTTTCCCAATGGCCTTCCCTGGATAATTTGCAGCTTCAGGCCTTCCTCACTGACACCCTGCTTGACCAGCTGCCCAACCTGGCTGATCTGAAGGGTTTCCTGGCCCACCTGTCCCTGGTTGAAACCCAGCCCCCTAAGAAGGACCTAGTATTAGAACAGGTAAGCCCTGAGAAAGTTAGGTGTTTGGGACCACGGTCTACCTTTCCAGTTCCTTCCTCCCTGTCTCCATTACCCTCTTTTAGATCCCGGAAATCTGGGATCGGCTGGAGCGAGAGAACAAAGGCAAATGGCAGGCTATCGCCAAGCACCAGCTTCAGCACGTCTTCAGCCCCTCGGAAAAAGATCTTCGTCAACAAGCACAGAGGTAAAGTCCACTGAGTGGCTGAAGTCACGTGCATAGGACGAAGAAGGGGAAGGTCACAGAGTGCTTCTGTGCGCCTACCTGCCAGGTCCATTCTGATCTTCTTGACTCCTCCCCCAGGTGGGCTGAAACCTACAGGCTGGATGTCCTAGAGGCAGTAGCTCCGGAGAGACCCCGCTGTGCCTACTGCAATGCTGAGGCCTCCAAGCGCTGCTCCAGATGCCAGAATGTGTGGTATTGCTGCAGGTGAGGGGATCCTGGGACCTTAGTTCTCCCTAAGCTCCGACCCTGGGTCTTCCCACAAGCCCTGTCATTGTCATACAACCCACCCCGCTGCAGGGAGTGTCAAGTCAAGCACTGGGAGAAGCACGGAAAGACATGTGTCCTAGCAGCCCAAGGTGACAGAGCCAAGTGAAGGCCATAGCTGCTGAAGGCCGACAGAAGAGCGCACCCAGAACGTGACTCTGAGCTTCAGAGATTCTTGCCTGGCCCCTGTCAGACCTCAATTTCCCTGGTGAGGAGCACAGCTGAGTCAAGTAGAGCTGCAAACCACCACACACAAGCTAAGGCTCTTCACTTCCTGCCCCACCCAGCGAATACGTACAGGACCAGGCCACAGCATCAGCAAACTGGCAGACAGAGTTGGGGGGGGGAGGGTGGTAAGCAAGGGCCGGATGTGGAGACCCTCTTCCTTTCTCACAATAAAGCGGACTCATGAAACGCATCAGTGCGGCGCTTTACAGTCATCCTTGGGGGCGGGGAAGAAGGGGCGATGGGACGAAGACTGGACGGAAAGACTGGGAAGGGGCTCTTTGAAAGGGTCCACCCCTGTGCCGTGCCCCGCCCACAAGTCCACAAGGTCGGCTCCGCTGGGTTTCCAGCGCGTCCTCCTCGGCTCTTTCCCGCCGCCCTGCCTTGATCCTGGGGGCGGTGCCGAAGTCGCGGCCCGCCCTGCGGCCTCGCCCGCTCGGTACTCACTAGCTGCTAGTCCGCTACAGCACCGGCCTGACCGGGCCATGTCTGCGGAGCCAGAACTCATTGAACTACGCGAGCTGGCACCGTCCGGGCGCATCGGTCCAGGCCGTACTCGGCTGGAGCGTGCCAACGCTCTGCGCATCGCGCCGGGCACAACACGCAATCCGTCACAGCAGCATGTCCCAGGTCGTGGCCACCGCTTCCAGCCTGCAGGGCCCACCACGCACACGTGGTGCGACCTCTGTGGAGACTTCATCTGGGGCGTCGTGCGCAAGGGCCTACAGTGCGCGCGTGAGTAGCGGCGAACGGGAGGTCAAAGGCAGCACCATAGTTGCGGGGCAAGCCGCAGCGGAGGGCTGGTCAGAAGTGACGATCCTGCAGACCAGATCTGCTTACCTTGCTCCACCAGGGAGAGTGCTTGAGAAAATGGTTTATCACTTGTCACACTCTGTCGTCCGTGCACAGTAGGGCAGAGTTAGTTGTCTGTGAATAACAAGGTGCTGGTTCTAAGTTTGTCTTTGAAGTGCTTGGGCCCTTCTTGAAAAGCCTTTGTGCCTACAGTGCTCTGAGCCTACATTCCAAGGCCCGCCTCTTCCCAACGATTGGCTCACTGTGCCCCCCTCTAGATTCCTGGGTGACTTCTCCCACATATAGGGGACCAGAAAAAGGTAGAACCTTGGTTAGGCTCCTTGTAAGTAGGAATTCTATTGAAACTTCCGTCAAGGTTGTTTTGTGTCAAGGATGCAGAGGCTAAATCATGGGGTACAGCCATACGCACAGTGAGTGGTCCTTCTGACCTAAGAATTACCAGCAAACCGAATCACCCAGGACAATCTATACCCTCCAGTCACTCGAGCCTACCTCTCCTCTCAGACTTGTTGAATCCATTGTTGAAAGTGCAGTTTAGGCATTCTGGTTTTTTGGTTTATTTGGTTGGTTGGTTGGTTGGTTGGTTGGTTGTTTTTTAAGACAGGGTTTCACTAGGCAGCCTAGAACGCTCTATGCAGACCAGGTTGTGACAAGTGACCCACCTGCTCCTGCCTCCCAAGTTCTGATGTATAGTTTTGAGTTAAGAATCAGTGCTGTGGGCCACATAGGAATCTAAGGATGGTACTATAGGCCTGTGCGTGCCTCTAGATCATCCCATTCACTACGTCACAAATTCAGCTAGCACAGCAGTCTGTGACAGAATGCAACACGGAACCAGGAGCTGTGACATTTCAACACTCACAGAGAAAGTTGCTCTGAAGTTCCTGTCTAAGAAGCAAGTTTGGGAGATAAGAAATCAAAGACAAATGTAGGGTTTAGCTCCAAACTGGGCTTACAGTGATAACTTGCTGAGATAGGAACCCTGGGGTGGAGTGAAGTGGGAAAAAATGGAATTTTGGTCATGGTCATCTGAAATCTTCATTAGACATTAAAGTGAAGGCACTACACGTAGGATTTGGTCTGAAGCAAGCCAGTGCTGCCTGGGATCTGGATCAGATGAGTGTAGACAGAGCTGGGACAGTACCCAGGTGAGAAACCGGAACATCAACTACAAGACCTGGACCGTGATAGAACTGAGAAAGGGGCTGCTGGCAAGGAGCCAGAGAAGGGAGGAGGGAATGCGGGCAGAGGGTGCTATCCCTGCGAGTCACGGGGAGCAGGCAGAAACTGAGGGATTTAACAGTCCTGATCATGGGAACAGAATACAAAACGTTAGACCTGTCCACTGGACATTGTGGCAAGTGCCAACAATCCTAGCACTGGGGCTGTTAGAGGCAGGAGGATCACCAAGTTCAGGGTTACCATTTGAGGCTAACTTGAACTCCATGAGAGTCTTTCTCAAAAACCAAAATAGAGTCATGTAAACAAGTGGAGACTAATAGGTTTTTTTTCAGCCGAAGAAATAAACCAATTCAAGCCGAATCAAGAGTTTGAAAGGAAGCCGGGCAGTGGTGGCGCATGCCTTTAATCCCAGCACTTGGGAGGCAGAGGCAGGCGGATTTCTGAGTTCGAGGCCAGCCTGGTCTACAGAGGACAGCCAGGGCTACAAGAGAAACCCTGTCTCGAAAAACCTAAAAAAAAAAAAAAAAAGAGAGAGAGAGTTTGAAAGGAGGTTTATTGGGAGCAGCAGACTCACCGATCTCAAAGAAGGAGGCTAGGGAAGTCGCCATGCAGACACGGAGGAATGGGGAGAAAGAGGATGTGCACGCAGGGAGAAAGAAATCTAGAGACAGAAAGAGACACGGAGACAGACAGGCAGACACACAGACACACATGCACACGAGCGAGAGATCAAGCGAGAGACAGAGACAGAGGGAGAAGCGAGCACAAATGTCTGACTATATAGGTAAGAGCCTTTGGAGGAGAGGAAGCCCAGTCCCTGGGCTGAAAAGTTCAGGGTAAAGGGCGGGCTGTGCTAGCTATATCCTGCAACACGTATGGACTAAGGGATGCTAGGAGAATCCGGAGGCCAGGTCTGCTTTGATGCGTTACATAGGCACCTCTGCCGTTTGTCGAGAGTCTGAAACCCAACCAGGACAGAGGACAAATACAGGAAGTCGTAAATTAAATGCCATTGATTTCAAGTTAATGGCAAAGCTCAGTAGTAGCTCTGCCGAAGGCAAGCACAAGTTAAGCATGCTTGGATCTCTAACCGCCTGAGGCATTCCAGCAAGTGTCCAGAGGTGCCTAACCCAGGACTCTAGGATCTGTGTAGCAATGGGCGGTAACCCGGCTTGAGAAAAGGCCAGTCAAGCCCAAAAAACTGTCGGGCAGAGGCTCCCTCAGTCAGTGGGTCACTTTGCCGGACTTCCCACCTCACGGCCTGCCCTTTCCGCAGACTGCAAGTTCACCTGCCATTATCGTTGTCGCGCGCTCGTCTGCCTGGACTGCTGCGGGCCCCGAGACCTGGGCTGGGACTCTGCACTAGAGCGGGACACGAACGTGGTGAGCGCGGGGTCGGGAAAGGGCGGGCCGGGAGGAAAGCCGGGGCTCAGCGGAGGTGTTCGGGGTTAATCCCGACGCCGTGCACAGTAAACATCCCAATTACCAATTTCCCGGCATTGGAGACGCTAGTTTTGCTCGCAGGTTTGTCAGGCGCTGACTCCACACCAAATCTACAGCCCACAAACCACTGGCCGCGAAGGCGCGCCCTGGCTGGGTGCACGCGCACCTCTCACCCCCCGCTTCCGGCCCTGAGGCAACCTCGGTGCACATGCGCACACGCCCCGGCCCGCTGGGAGGCGGGACCTCAGGGGCGGAGCCGAGTTGAGATGCCTCTGCGATGAGGTCATTCCTCGAGCTGTAGCGTTGTGTCCCCGCCCCTCGACGTCCCCAACCGCCCCCCCGCCCCACACCAGAGCTGGAGTCGGGCTGTCTACGTCTCAGTCCTAACGGTTGCCGCGCGGCGCTGGCCTCGGCGCAAGCGCGAACTGACACGCTCACACGCACGCACGCGCCCGAGGCGGTGGTTGGAGACTCCCCACGCAGTGGACTAGGGATCGGGCGGGCAAGGCGATGGGCGAGGCTGAAACACCTTCCTTCGAAATGACCTGGAGCAGCACGACCAGCAGTGGCTACTGCAGCCAAGAGGACTCGGACTCGGAGCTCGAGCAGTACTTCACGGCGCGTACCTCGCTGGTCCGCAGGCCGCGCCGGGACCAGGTGGGAGCCCGGGGGTGCCGCCGGCGGGTGAGGGGCGGGCGCTGGAACCCCGCCCCTCGCCGGTAAGTTGCGGCCTGGAGAGTTAGTTGATGGGCAGCCTCCCCGCCTCTCCGTCGTGAGCCTCTCCGCGGGTCCAGACAAAAACGGGGAAACGTATGTAGGGGTTTCTGTCCCGAGTAGAAGCCCGGTTCCAGCGCGATGGTACTGAGTACCCAGGCTAGCCTATCCTTGCAGTCACAGACCGGTTGAGCCAGGGGAAGCAACTCTGAAGCTTGAAGGGTGGACCACAGGCGGGTGTTATTCACCCATGACTAAAGCCAGCCTCGCAATCCAAACCGGCGTCTTGCTTTCACATTTGGGCGCTCCCACTCCCTCCCTGGGGGAAATAAGGAAGTGGAGGAGGAGTCCACCGGGAAGTGAGAAGTTAGTTTGGGAGGGGACTCTGTCCCTGTCGTATGCGGTCTTGGATCAGCCAGCAAAGTCCCCAACTCTTTGACACCAGCTGCTGGAATGTAGACAATTTCCCGATCTTTCTTCCCTCCAGGGTGGAACTGTGCAGAGGGGTTTGGGGAATATAGGAAGAGGGCCTTGCTTTAGACTTTAAGCATTAGGAACATTTTACCCATAGGAGCAGGAAGACTGTAAAATGCCCGAAAGTGTGGTACCAGGGCAGCTGAACCTCTTCAAAAAGTCTAGATGTGCCCAAATTATCAGACTTTTCTGGGAATATCATGGTTGTGGTCACCAAGCTTGGATAACTTGCTCTGGAGCCGGAATCCCGCAGAACAGCACAGAGGCCGGCGAGTCAGGAAAGTGAGACAGAGACTGAAGGTTAGAAAACTTAGCAGCAGTGAACTAGAACGCCTTATTTGAGCCAAGAAAATGGAATTGTCTGTGATGCTGTAGGTGAGATTCAATACAAATTTCTTACAGGTGGGCTGCTACTTGACACCTCCAAAACCTTAGTCCAGACTTTAGATCCAATGCAGGGCCCTGGGATTGTCTCCATACCACT